GCGAGGTGGAGGAAGGCTCCCTTCGGTAACTGGAGAGCTTCGTTTACTAACCTTTTCTCTTTCGACAGGCAAACAACCGTTCCCTTTTTTTACCAGGCCTCTGGGCCCCGTGGCAAAAATAACAGCCGCGTATTTATTAGAACTGAACATTTAATAAATCCTCACTTTATTAACTAAGATTGCACGAGTGCTCATTATGGACGGCGGGCGGGAGGAGAGGGGGTGAGGGAGCTCCTAATTAGCCGGCAGTGATTGCGTTCAGAGCCGAGAAGAAATGGGAGATCAGCCTCAAGGCTGGTGGGAACAAGAGCAGCCTCCCGAGTGAGTCTTGGCTGTGGAAACACCCTGGGCCAGAGTTTGAAATCCAGCTTCTCTTGCCTACTCCATGCCAGTTCTGCCTCCCGGGGTGGTGACAAGTCCGGTGACGTGACCACCCAAGCCGTCGGCACATGGCACATGTCCGTGGGATGAGAGCTGGTGGCCTTCTTCGAGCGTGGCGGAGGTGGGAACAGAGTTGGCCGGCTCGCCTTGGTTTGGATAAGGAAAAGGGTGCCGTCCCCAAAACACCTTCGGAAAGGTGGAGACAGACCGACCCCGGGAAGACTAGTAAGCAGACCCGACGCCCTGTGAGGCTGGAATGTTGAGGCGAGAACCTCTGAGTTCTGACCACCCTCATTCCCACCCGACAGGGTTTGGGGGTCGTGTTTGTAATTGAGCTGAAATTCACTTATCAGACAGTTTGAAAGTGCACAGCCCCGAGTTGTAATTGCGTTGCAATACTGCGCCGCGACCACCTCTCTTGACCCCAAACTTTCTCCTCGCTCCTGAGGGAGGCGCTGCACCTCACCCGGGTCCCCTGTGGGCTGGGCAGCGTGGAGCCACGAGAAGAGTCCAGGTCGCTGGAGAATGAAGTCCTGGCTCGTGGCCCATCATCTTTGCACCCTGTCCCAAACAGCTCCCTCTTTGTGCAAAGTTGCTTTTCTCCCAGGGAACGCATCCTCACACTTCTGCGATTCATGCCGAGTTGAATCTTTGATGCCTGTCTGAGAACACGTTGCTCTTTTGGGTCCTCTTCCTCCACCGCCCCCACTCCCCACCCTGCCAGCAGTGTGGCCATCTTTCATTGTGCATGTACTCTTACATGTTGAGCTGCTAACTGTTGGAATGAGCTGTTGGAAGCCACCAGCCACTCAGCAGGGGAAAGACGAGGCTGTCTACTCCCATCAAGACTCACAGTCTCAGAACCCTCAGGGACAGCTCTACTCTGTCCTGTTAGGGTCACTCTGAGTCACCGTCGACTTGGCGGCAGTACGTTTGGCTTCTTTGCAGCCTCTGTGCCTGGGAGGGTGCTGAGCACTTGGCAAGAGAGAGCTCATGTTGCCCTCACCGCCATCCAGATGGTAAGTTTCATTCTCTCCACTGGACACAGAAATTAAGGGGTGGCGGGGTTAAGCAGCTCACCAAGGTCATCCTGATAAGCTGTAGTGCTGAGCTCACCAAGGTCATCCTGATGATAGGCTGCCATGCTGGGCTTTCTTCAGGTGACTTCCAAATAACACCTGAGAGGGAGAACTAGAATCCTACATCATTCATCTAGCACATAGACTGCATTCTTCACTGAAACCAGCGGTTCTCAACCTGGGGGTCCCGACACCTTTGGGGGTCAAACAATCCTTTCACAGGGGTCACCCGATTCATAACAGTAACAAAATTAACGTTATGAAGTAGCAACAAAGATAGTTTTATGGTTGGGGGGTCACCACAACATGAGGAACTGCATGAGGAAGGTGGAGAACCACTGATTTAAACCTTCTGGAAAAGGGAGAGCTCAGGCCTGGATAACTTCACTGGTGAATTCTACCAAACACTCAAAGTAGAAATAAAATCAGTTCTAAACATTCACTTCCAGAAAACAGAGGCGGAGGGGACATTCCCCAACTTGTTCTCTGGGGTCAGGCTAACAACTCTGATGACAAAAATCAGAGAAAGACATCACAAGAAAAGAAAGCAGACCAACATCCCTCATGAACCTTGATGCAAAAGTTCCTAAACAGAAAAAGGAACAAATTCAACATCACAAAGTATTGAAAGGATATGCAATTGACTCTTGAACTGCATGGGACCTGACAGTTGAAAATCCATGTGTCACTTTTGACTTCCCCAAAACTTTGCTGTTTACTGGAAGCCTTACCAAAGGAACCTCATGGTGTCAATGGGTAAGTGTTTGACTGCTAACCACAAGGTTCCCGGTTCAAAGCCATCTGCTGCTCCATGGGAGAAAGATGAGGCCCCCTGCTCATGACTCAAAACTAATTTAATGGGAATAG